TGTAGTTGTTGTTTTCCACCATTGAATCCATTTTACTGTTAATAAGGTTTGTCCTTTGCAAAATCTCAACCCAAGTTAGAGGCTGATTTCATAGATTAGAAGCAAAAGATTTAAAAGAAATTTGCACCTTCTTTGATACATTTCTTATGCATAGTTTCCCCCCAGGGGATTTGCATTAAAAAATAGACACCTGGAGATTACGATCTAGTCTGATTTTTTTTTTTAAAAATAGCTTGACATTTCGGCCACACATATTTGTGGAAATCCACAGACTTACTATATTCAAAGTGTTGATTTAGCCGAAGTACAAAGCCCACACAAACATAACTACCGCTTTTGTATAAAACAAGTGTCTCACTGCTCCCAGTCTCCAACACAGGAATCTTCCTTTGTTGGCTTTATCCTAAGACGAGACTAACAGGACTTCCAGTGATTCTAGTGAGCGTTAACATGTGCCAATTTGTTGCATGCCATCCAGTAAATTCCTACTGGTCATTATCCTAGATTTTAGATGCTAAGAAAAAATGCCTTACATGTAAATGCTCAATTTATTCTCACTGTGGCGTATTGGACAGTGATTGCCACACGGCAAGTATGCGATGTTACAGTGCTCACTCCCTTTTGTTTCTTGAAGATAATAGATCTAGTGGGGAGAGACAGTCACCACAGGTTAATAAAAGAAAAGTAGAAACAGACTTCGGGAGAAAGGCAAGGCAAGGCTTTCTACGCCGTAATGAGTTAGCCTTAGAAACCCACACTGCCAGTTCTGTCCTGCCCTGAAGGGTCGCCATGAGTTGGCATCAACCTGATGGCAGTGGGTTTGGTTTGTAAACAGACTTCATTCCAACACTCACCTAAGTCGGTACCATCAAATCCACTTCAAGTCATAGCGAATCTTCAAGCACAGGGGAGAGCTCCTCCTGCGGTTTCCAGGTTAGTCTACGAGTATAGAATGCTTCGTCTTCCTCCCAGAGAGGGCCTGGTGGTTTCCAAGAGCTGAACCTACAGCCTGACATGTAACCACTACACCACCACGCCCTACAGACTGTATGCTCATGAAGTCTGCCTCCTGAAATGTCTCTCCTCTCTTCGGAACTGCACTTGAAAGAACGCATTCCTCTCTTGGACTTGGAGAACAGCCTACCTCTGGTCCTGCTCTTTCCTGGACCACCTCACAGCAGTCAAGTCACACAGTGATCATGTCGGTCCCCTGATTCAGGAGGCACACTGGGACTAATAGGCCGAATCTGGTTGGCAGATAAATACTTTCAAGTATTTTAATGAGAACCCTTGGTTTCGCGTGCACTGGAAGCCCTGCTGCTGAATGTGTTTACTTTTTGGATTCACTACCTGTCTGGTCCCTGTAAAGTACATTTGCCAACCTCTAGCCCAGGGGCCCTCAAACTTTTTAAACAGGGGGCCAATTCACTGTCCCTCAGACCCGTTACAGGGCCGGACTATAGTTTAAAAAAAAAAAAAACTTAACAAACTCCTATGCACACTGCACATATCTTATTTTGAAGTAAAAAACAAATGGGGCAAAAACACCCGGCGGGCCGGATATATGTCCTCGGTGGGCCGCATGTGGCCTGCGGGCCATAGTTGTTTTTTTTAAACATTTTATTAGGGGCTCATACAACTCTTATCACAATCTATACACACATCAATCGTGTAAAGCGCATTTGTACATTCATTGCCCTCATCATTCTCAAAACATTTCCTCTCCACTTAAGCCCCCGGCATTAGGTCCTCATTTTTCCCCTCCCTCCCCGCTCCCCCCTCCCTCGTGAGCCCTTGATAGTTTATAACTTGGTATTTTGTCATATCTTGCCCTGTCCCACGTCTGTCTCCCTTCACCCACTTTTCTGTTGTCCAACCCCCAGGGAGGAGGTCACACACAGTTCCTTGTAATCGGTTCCCTCTTTCCTACCGATTCTCCCTCTACCCTCCCTGTTTCGCCACTCACACCACTGGTCCTGTAGGGCTCATCCGCCCTGGGTTCCCTGTATTTTCAGATCCTATCTGTACCAGTGTACATCCTCTGGTCTAGCCAGACTTGCAAGGTCGAATTCGAGTCATGGTAGTGGGAGCGGGGAGGAAACATTTAGGAACTAGAGGAAAGTTGTATTTTTCATCGTTGTTACATCACACCCTGACTGGCTCGTCTCCTCCCCGAGACCCCTCTGCAAGGGGATCTCCAGTGGCCTACTTGGGCTTTGAGGACGCCTGCTAGCCTATAGTATGGAGGGGCCCCAGTGACGTAGTGGTTACACGTTGGGCTGCTAACTGCAAGGTCAGCAGTTCAGAACCACCAGCCGTTCCCTGAGAGGAAGGCACACAGGAGCAGCTCTACCCTGCTGTATAGGGTTGTTAGGAATTAACATCGACTCGATGCCAGTGAATTTGATTTGTTTTAATGGCTGGGCATGTGTGTGTATAGCCTACCGTTCACAGTCCAAATCACTCACTGCACCTGGTATTGGTCATGCTTGTTTTGTTAAAAAGATAAAATGGCTATTAACTTTGCTAATTTGGATCTATGAGTCGATTCCAACTCATAGTGACCCTGTAGGATAAGGGAGAACTGGCCCTGTGGGATTCCGAGACTCGCTCATCCCAGTACAAAGTCCCATCTCTTTTTGGAGCCGCCGACGCTGTGGATTTCAGCCCAACAAGTAACTCCTGAGCCACCAGGCCTCCTTGAGTCCAGATCAGTGGTGGGCAAACTGCAGCTCTGGAGATAGGTGCTCTTTAGACGCTGAAGTAAAATGGAAAAATTTTAAAGGCTATTATTCAAATAATGGTGATTCCATTTGTTTATAAAAATATTGTGGCCCTCTATTAATTTTAAAAATTGTTGTGAGGGATAGAATTGGTTCTTCAGTCTCAAGTTTGCAGACCCTTGGACTAGATGTATGCATTCAGCAAATCTTTACCCCCAGTGAGCCAACCACTACTCCAAGTGCTAGGAGATCACCAAGCACCCACCGCCTTCCCGTCGGTTCCTGCTCCCAGCAGCCTCCGAGGGCCGAGCAAAGCTGCCCCACGCTGCAAATCTTTAAGGCAGCACAAAGCGCCATCTTCCTCACTCAGAGAAGTTGATGGGTTTGAACTGCTGACCTTGCACCTACTGCTGACCCCACTAAGCCAGCGGTTTTCAACCTGTGGGTTCCGACCCCTTTTGGGGTCGAACGACCCTTTCACAGGGGTCGCCTGATTCATAACAGTAGCAAAATGACAGTTATGAAGTAGCAATGAAAATAGTTTTATGGTTGGGGGGTCACCACATTAAAAGTTTGTGGCATTAGGAAGGTTGAGAACCACTACACTAAGGCTTCAGTGCTGCAGATACTGTATTGTAGAAAAAAACAAACCCAAACCTCTGCTTTCAAAAGCTTAAATTTGCTTAGAGAAGCTAAGCCAAAAACATGGTGTTTCAGATCAAACAAGCCGTGGAGCTAAGAGTGGGTGCAGTGCTGTAAGGACAGGGTGACATTTCAAGTAGAGTTCTCATGGAAGGCCGTATCTGGGGACCATTCCATGCAAGGAAATGCTGGATCCCAGTATCTTCTCAGCCTGCTTCTAGTGTCCCTCAAATCCAAGGTCTTTCGTTTCATAATGCTGTCATCTCTTTGGGTATGATTCTTAAGCACTGTGGGTGAGGCCTCACCTGGAGGATAAGCGGGCATGAGAGTTCTTGATGAGACCCTCCTGTTGCATTCTGCTATCAGGGCTATAGCTGGAAGGTACCCTTTGCAACAAGAAGTGTTTGGGAACCAAAGTCTCGGATTTCCCACCTGAGTGAGGTTGGTCAAGGCTCTTAGCTTTGCTTAAGCTCCCACACCAGTAAATGTTGAAAGCCTAAAATATTGCAAGTAGCGGTCCTCGGCACAAACTTGCTTGTTTACACCTTGGCAAAGCATGCATCCCTCAGTAGCAGCTGTGGCCACAAGAGGGTGCCATCCACACAGCTGGAAAGACGGCTGCTTCACCTCCACTGCTTCAGCCAGCCCGCAGATCCTGTTTTAAGCTTTAAATTCAATTAAGTGAACTTTTGAAGAATGGCACTGGGAGATATGTACTCGTGACATGATCGGTAGTACCATGTCTATCACAAGCAAACTAGGAGAAACAGCAAACCAATGTCAAGAGTAAGAGTAAAGCTCTTTTGCGCCTGACTTGAATGGGGTTTGCTGTGGATTCCATGACTCGCTGCCAGTCAAGGCCGGACTCTGGCTCTGACCTGGGCTTTGTAAGGCATGGCTGTCCCGAGCTCTGCTGGACTAGCCCAGAGAAGCTCAGCTGGCGCGCAGAATGAATGAACAGGAATTAGGGCCGACGTGATGAGAACTTTAGCTCCAAACCAAACCTACGGCCACTGAATTGCTTGGCAAAGCCTCATAGCAAGCCTGTAGGGCAGGATAGAACTCCCTAGGGGTCCCAGGCCGTCATCTCTGTCGAGCACATGGGCTCATCTTTGGCCAGTGAGCAACCGTCGATTGGAACTGCCGGCCGTCCCGTGAGCAGCCCACCTGTGACTGCTCTCAAGGGGACGATATGGGGGTACCTGGTGACTGCTGAGTGTCCACTATTGCACAGCTCTGTGCCCTGCTTTGCTCAGTATTGACCCTCCCTCCCATGGCTTTCCCAATACAGACAGCCCGTCAGGCAGGAAGCCAGCGCAGAGCTGCGGGAGACAAGAAGTCCTTAAGTAAGGAGTTTCCAGAGTTGATGACAATAGTCGACTCTGGCAGAGGGGTGGGGCTAACGAGCATATTTCACGTTGGGGTTCTTTTCAAGTAAAAACTACCCACAGACTTCGAAAGCCGATTCTGCACGTGAAATCGCCTGAACTTCACCATGCGCATGGGGTGCACAGCATCCGCGTGGCAAACAATCACGGGGGCGTGCTGACTGAGGGCTCCCGGACCGGCGCAAGGACTTGGGGCTCTTAATTGTTCCTGTAGGCGCTTTGCCTAGAAAGGAGTGCTGACCCACAGTTTCAGGGGAGAAACGTCTTTATTTGACGCCTTTACAAAAATAGGCAGGCACATAATTTTCATTTTTATGTCACCTGATTTACATATTTCAATTATCAGTACCCTTTAAAAACACTAAAATGGTAATTTGGTAAGTAAACCCCTACTGAAAAAATATTGTGAGGGTAACATTTGTAGTCAAAAATCAGTTGATCATCAGCATGAGAAAGAAAATATAACAAAATTGCTAAAAAAACATTTTTGAGAAAGTAAATCTAACCTGATTTTTTCCTTTAAAATATTTCAGAACAACAAAGCTTAAAACAATCAAAGGAAACACTGAGAAAATAACTCCTCATACCATGATGCAGGGTTTTCCTAACAGTAAGAACTCATTAGCTTGGTTTAGCAAGAGATTCAGTCACACATCCCGACGACTGACACCTGGGATCAGCCTCCGCCAGCCCTGTGTCCTCAGCTGCACGGAATGCGGGAGAGGAAGGGAGCCAGACCTGCAGTGTCAGGTGACAAATGGGCAAGTCTGAAGTGGAGTATTCTGACCTGCAAGTACCATCTTCTAAGGTGTAACACCATTTTCCTTTTATAAAAGTTACCAGTATGCTAGGAATGTGATTTTGTTCCATTTTAAAAACAGGTGGGATTAGCTGCCCACATAATGACATTATATCCCACAGGTACTTAAAAAAGGAAGACTGTCTGGGTCATGTGCTTTGGTAAACACACACACACACACAACCTTTCTTTAAGCATGAAGGAGCAGAAATTAAGACTCTTGATTTGCCTCTAATCTCTTCAGGAAGTACTGCCCGGGACCTCCACTGCTAAGTGTCTAATACGTACAAGACATTGTGCTGAATAGTTTTAGATCTACTGTCTTCTTTCTCAAGTATGATTCATTTCCCTAAGAGAATGAAAAAATCAATGGCAGCCTTGTCTATATCAAGGAGGAACCAATATCAAATGGTTATGGAGGAAGCAAGGATATGTGGAGGAATGAGGGGCCCAGGCCGTTCTCAGAATCACAGGAGTCAGGTCACTTATCTCAGAGCTAGAAGACCAGTGTGGGCTATGAGCATCCTCGCAGATTTAACCAGTGCTTTTGCTCCGGCCTCGGAAACCCACAGGGACGGTTCTACCCCGTCCTACGGGTCGCTGGGAGTCAGAACTGCCTGGCAGGCAGTGAGCTGGTGTTGGCTGCTGCTCCGTGGGTGGGGGCCTCTACAAGTAATGATGCTGACACCTGAGTCCAAACCACTGATGTCCTTCACCTGCTTCCCTTCCCTCAATTAGGTTCAGGCCAGCACCTCTGGGTCCAGCATGAGGCAGTCATTGAAGGCAAGAGTCATTTCACATCCATCTCAGTTGTCTTGGGGCTGAGCAGAGAGCTGGCCCCCACTGAAGGAGGCCTTCTAACTACAGGGAGGGCAGGCCCAAAGCCTTAGGGATGAAGGGGCTTCAAAAAGTTCACAGAAAAAGCCCATCTTGTCATTTTTGAAGACCCCCTCATACTACTCCCAAGTCATCAAATAAAGCTCTACCGGACTTGACGTGAAAATTCTGCACCGTTTTACTGACTAAAGCTTTCCATGGATTCTTGACAAAAGCAAAACTACAGCAAACTTGCAGTATATATATATGGAAGTTGAATCCTACAAGGGCCCAACTTCTAAAGGAGGCAGCAGCCACATGAGGCGATTGGAAATCCTTTTTACACAGGCCAGGACAGCTGGCCATTGGAACCACTCCTGTTCCGCCTAGCAGCAGATAGGCCAAAGAAGATCTTCCCGGAAGAGAAGCCACTGGTCATGGAATTTACCATTGAGGATTCTTGCCTCAGCCCGTCTATCTCAAGGGTAAGTTAAAGATGTAACTCTACTGTCTCTTGCTTGTGGGAGGGAGGTCTTGGGATTTTTGCCATGTTTCGAGGCAAAATGCAGACATTCTGGGAGCAACGGGGCACCAGATACAACCTCTAGTCCACTACTTTCAGGCCTACACACAACTGAAAACACATAGTCCATTCAAACTCCAATTTCCCCAGGCTGCTGACTCTTGCACCTTAAGATAGGAGACTGCACTGCGGGGGCCTTCCAGGAACCAGGGCACAGGCAGGAACTCGCTCTACTGCTTCTGATTTGCCAGAAGGTTTGGTATAGACCCTGAGGTACAGGGCCTGCCATGTGCATTTAGCGAAGGGCTAACTACCTGTGTGTGTGACTTTCTCACGTAAACCTGGTGTGGTGACGGACCCCCAAGAAGCAGTTCAGTCTCCGGTAGAGTGCTAGTCCACATTACCTCTGAACACATCCAAAGACCAAGCTTGTCGAAATTCCACCACCCACATTTCTAAGGTCAAAGAAGAGAGTCACTGAAACATTTCTCATTATGCTTTCCCGTTATGCCCAGACAAAACCAGCGATTCGTACTGGCCAGGCCCTGGCAGATACCATTCACTGGCTGAATGTTCGTTCCTATCACCCGAGAGCAGCTGATGGAAACTCTAGGACCATTGCCTCTCCCTCTGTGCTAGATCTGCAGAGCCTCCTCTTCGAGAGGCAGCATGATTCATAGAAAGAGCATGGATTTTTTTTTTAACTTATTAGCAAGTCCTGAAATTCTCTAAATCTTGTTTTCTCACGTAAAACAGGAATATGTGACACGAGATAAGCTCCTAGTTTTCCACTGGGATTTTCTAGATGATGCTGGAAAGACGTGAGCTTAGGATGTGTTCCCTGGAGCTTATTCGGATGGGAGTTGTTTATGGGTGAATGGTGGGAACACAACACCTTTAATAAACAAATCAAAATGGGGGTGAGATGAGTATGAAAGCGGCCTCAGTACAACTCCTTTATCAAATAGGAAACAAACATCCAAACCGTTGAGGTCCCTGAAAATGCCAGCGATCAGGCTGCTAGAATTCAGTGAAGCCCAAGCCTAAGGAAATGGAAGTAAGTTACTGTGCGCAAGTGCTGTAAGTACCGGGGAAAAGTACTCCATCACTGCACAACTGGCTTGAGCATGCGCACTACTCTCTGAGATGGGGCTTGACTCATCCCCCTAACCCAAACTCACTGCCATCGAGTCCCTCACAACACCCTGCAGGATGGGGCAGGTCCCTGTGGATTTCCAAGACTGCCATTCTTTACGGGAGCAGCTGGTGGCTTCAAACTGTTCACCTTACAGCCACCAGGGCTCCCCATGAGGCAACAGTGGACAGGAGAAGTTGACATTCTCATTAAGTGAGGCTTTGCCCTCGAAGCAATAATTTAAAAATGTACCAAGCTGCCCTTACTTACACAGCAAAAACAAAACAACGAAACAACCCATTGCCATCAAGTTGATTTTGATTTGGTGACCCCCTCGGGCACGGCAGAAGTGTGCCTTGGGGCTTCCAGGGCTCTCCACTGTCAGAGAAGCACCTTGTCAGAACTTTCGCCCCCACTGCGTGGTGGGTTCTGATTGCGGACCATTCACTGGCTGCCTAATGTTGACCCCACTGCAGCCCTGGGCCGCCTCCACACTGGTCTAGAGAGCCATCTTTTTAAAGGTCGCAGCCCACAGCAGAGAGGCGGAGGAAACACAGGTGGTCCCTCTGTGTGCTCAACTGGACTGCATGTTTCCCCAACACCGCTCTGCACAAGCCTTCCTCACAGGGTTGCACTCAGCTGCAGATAGCAATGGAGCAGGCGCGCAGGCAAGGGACGTCTAGCCGCAAGGACAGATCTCTACTTCTGAGAGCCAAAACAATGGCTCCCTGACGGACATGGCTCAATTCTCCATCTCGCCCTCAGTCACGACAGTCAGTGGGCTAGGTTTCAACCAGTTCCCGAAGCATCTCGGCATCCCTAGTACTCAGCACTAGTGCCCGGCTGACAGTCCACACTCGACACAGTGTGGGTGGATGAGTGAAATGGATGGATCGGTCCCTCAGCAAGAGGCCTACTTCCTGTCCCTTCACTCCTCTCTCCTCCCCAATGGAGAGGGACCAATGTATTTTCAAGAAATGCACTCTGCTCATCTCCACTCCTCAGGGACAGCACATGGGAACCAATACATGCCACCCCCCACGCAAGTGAGTGACGTGCCAATGTGTCATCTTACTTACATGAGTCCCAATGAAGGAAAGAAAGAAATTCAAAGGAGAGAAATTTCAGATACCCAGCTGCGTCTCCAGCAGAAAGCAGGCTGCACTGCCCCTCAAGACTGGCAGCGATGATGTGAGGGATAGGGCCCTGTTGGCGCACTCTATAGGGGCAGCTCTCAGCAACGCCTGGACATCAGACTGGGAGTGAAATATACTGCAAAACACTCATGCTTCACTGTCGGCACAGAAGAAAAGCAAATAAATTAAAAAGCCCGGTATATTTTCCAGTCTGATATAAATTAATTCACATGGCATATTTAAAATAGTCAATTATAAGTTTCTCTCATCACAAAATTTTAAAAGGCAGCAAAATCAATCCTCAGATTGTACAAGTGCAAAAGAATGGTATGTTCTCCTTAATCAAGACATCTCGCTCTCTGGGTCGGAAGTGGCAGTGTTCCGAGTTGATCAAGCACGGGCCTCCTGCTCAGGCAGGCCTCCGGTCATACCGCTCCTTTCCCTTTGACGTCCGACTTGTTACTGGCTTCGGACTGTTTGCTCAGCTGCTCTTCAGAAAAAGTGATGTAGGAATACACCAGGCTCCCAGCAATGCTGCAAAACACAGACCACCATTAGGGGGGAGTAGCAAGGGTGGGGCGGTGGGCAAACCCGGGTGGGGGAGGGTGGGGGGCTGTCGAGTGCAGGGAATACCTTTAAAAACCAACAGCACGTACAATGAGAACAGTATTTTTACCGACCAAACTAGCAAAGGCACCCCATCCCCTTGCCACCCCGGTACCCAAGGCTGCTGCTGCTCAGGGGAAATAGTGTTTGCACAGCTACTGTGGGCTGGAGTGCACCATTCTGGAAGGCAAATCAGAAGACTGGTGGGAATTTTGCTTATCTTTTGACCTAGCCATCTACTTCATAGATGAGTCAGGTACAGGTTCACAGACTTAGCTACAAAGTGTAAATTTATAACAAAAGGAATAATGGCAAATAAGTAAGTACAGAGTTAATGCCCCACAGTGGAGAATTACATAAATTCACCCAATGGGATATGATGCAGCCATTAAAAATAACATGCAATAAAAACAGGCAATGACCTTAGATGGGGGCAGGGCGGGGGAGAACTCATAAAACAAGAAGTATTTGCCTGGTCCCACTTGACTTCAATGCGTCAGAGCAAGAGAAGTCCAGACAGGGCTTATATTTGGACAGTAGGGTTACAAGTAATTTCTCTTACAGGTTGAAAGAGTATTTTTTAAAATTTCAGTAGGAATGGCAAATATTTCCATCATTAAGTAAGCATGCAGGTCTCTCGATTGACAGAGCCGGTTTCCCGTTGTCAGAAGCAAGTGCAGAGAACACCCCCTGCCAGGGAGTTGACTGACGCCAGCACCCCAGGAGTGCAGAGCAGAGCTGCTCCACAGGGTGTCCCAGCACGTAAATCTTCTTTTTTTAATTAAAAGATCACTTTATTGGGGGCTCTTACAACTCTTACTACAATCCATGCTTCAGTTGTATCACGCATCTTTGTGCATATGTTGCCATCATTCTTTACCAGACCTTTCTATTGAGCCCTTGGTCTCAGCTCCTCTTCCCGGCCCCACGCCCCCCTGTGACCCCTTGATAGATCATAAATTATCATTATTTTCATATCTCACACCAACTGCTGTCTCCCTTCCCCCATGGTTTCTGTTGTTCGTCCCTCTGGGGGTGGGTGGTGGTGGTGGTGCTGTTATATGTCGATCATTTCGATAGGTTCCCCCTTCCTCCCCTCCTCCCCCACCTTTCTGGTATCGCTATTCCCACTCCTGGTCCTGGACTCTGTGTGTCGTGAGCTCTTAGCTCTTATCTACACCTGTGTACATGCTCCGGTCTAGTCCAAAGTGAGAGGCAGCACTGGGGTCATGATAGTGGGGGGTGAGGAAGCCTCCAGGAACCAGAGGAATATTGTGTGTTTCACTGATGCTTTACTGCACCCTGGTAGACTCATCCCTTCCCTGTGACCCCTCGGTGGGGGACGTTCCGTTGTCTGCAGTTGGGCTTTGGGTCTCTGCTCCGACCCTCCTCATTCTCAACATGTTTTTGCTTGTTATGGGTTTTCTGATGCCTGTTACCCGATCCCAACGACACCTCAAGATCGCACCGGCTGGTGTGCTTCCATGTGGGCTTGTTGCAGAGAACTGCTGGATGGTTGCTTGTTTAACTTCAAGCCTTTAAGACCCCAGATGCTATATCTTTTAAGAGCTAGGCACTGTCTGCTTTCTTTGCCACATTTATTTATACACCCATTTTGCCTTCAGTGATTGCGCTGGGAGGGTGAGCATCACAGAATGCCAGTGTTTTAGAACAAAGTGTTCTTATATTGCGGGAGGGTATGAGCAGAGAGCAGAAGTCCATCCACTACCTCAGTGTATTGCCTTATAAATATATATATGTACATAAGCCAATTTATATGGATCATTGTATTCACATATGCACACACCTATGCTTATACCTCTATCCATAGCTTTACTTCCTCAATCTTTCCTGCTCCTGCCCCACCATCATGCTCACTCTACTTCCGCCTTTTAGTACTTCCTCTCAGCTAGACTGCTGTGCTCCAACACTCACAGCATCTCTACATCCTCCTTGTTGTTGATTTTAATTCCCTAGTTGTTCCCCTGCCTCTGGCATTGTTTGCTCATTGCACCCTCCACCTTCTCCCCCCAGGTCCCACCAGGACCGGTGGCCCCATTGCTTTCTCCTCTAGTTAGCTTCCCATGCCTGTCATATATAAGTAGGCAAACCAACAATGACACAGACCAAACAAAAAGATGGAAAAAAGAAATGTAAGAGAAAAAGAAAAAACATACATAATTCCAGGTCTGGGGGACTTCCGGGAGCTGCCCCTCCTGGCCTGAAGTCTATTTTAGGGGCTCTTTAGGGGCTTTGTGGCTTGCCCTGCTGCGGGGGTGGGGTTTAGGCCGCACTATTTCCCCACCGTGTGTCCCGGTCTTGTCCTGTAGCAGTATGCTCCAGTATGTCAGCCCTATAGTCCTCTCTGTGCCTTAGCAGCTTCATGCAAGGGCGTCATCCTCCGGGCGTAGTGTGCCCATATGGGGTCTAGACCGCCCATTCATTTCTCTTTTTCCTTCTTGGTTTGCTTCCGTGTAGGCGTGGCAAGCTGGTCCCTCTCCCCAACCTGTAGGTTTAGTGTTGTTCTCTGTCCCACATACTTCTAGGGAGGGGGTCAGTTTGGCCCTGGTTGGGGCTGGCCATGTTAGGCTGTAAATCTTTATGGAAGCCATTTGCCACATCTTTCTCCCATGAGAAGCTGGTGGGTTTGAATTCTAATCTTTGGGGTCACAGTCAAGCACTTTAACCATTGGGCCACCAGGGCTCCTAATTCAGAGCAGAAAACCTATCATCCGAGCCCTTAGCCTATGATATTGGTCCCTTAGCATGACCCTGTCACACCCTACAAAGACTGGGCACACTGTGGGGATGGCAATTACTCAGTCTCGTCTTGGTGGGGACCTCAAACTTACCTGAGATTCTGAGCCTCCTGTCCTGAACACTAGACTCAAAGTCATAAGCTTTATTGAAGAGGTCACAAACCTGACACTCAATCTGTGCTGCTCTTTCCCATGATTCCTTGGGTTGTCTGGCGTGGACTCTGCTTTCAGACTTCCCTGCTCTGGGTTTGGCCCCCATCCTCAGTCTGACCACCTGACTCATAAACTATCTGCTGCTTTGAAATGACTTGTTTTTCTCTGGGCTTTGGTGTTCCAGCCCCAGACCAGCTGCAGCAGGGTAAGGACTCCGAGCTTCTGCTCTGGTCCCAGTACACAATAGTACTCATCTCTGTGAGAGGGTTACTCAAAAAGTATTGCTACAGAATCCAAGATGTCTTTGTTAAACACAAAAATCAAAGTATGAAGACAGCAAAACCTCCTGTCTGCGTTTTCCCTGCTCTGTCGCCAGCAAACAGCAAATACATCATTCGTTTTCTGTCTCCTATGTTAGCAGGAAAGCCGCCTGGGAGCAAGGATTCCCAGTGCCTAAAATAACGCCCGGCACATGGCAGGCACTAACCAACCAATTAATCTTCCCTGCTAGCTTCTCCTTGACGACAGAAGTTAGTTGCTGGCTATGTCATGCGCTAAGCCAGAGGTTCTCAACCTGTGGGTCTCAAACCCTTTGGGGATCGAACGACCCTTTCACAAGGGCCGCTATTTCCAATGGTCTTAGGAACAGAGACACCACTCCTCTACCCGTCTCCAGGCAAGTCTGCCCACATGCAGATATGCCCACATATGAGTACCTGGCATGAAGACTGTTACCCATGCTACACCATGCTTCAAGACAAAATTTCTTTTATTTGTCATTAGAAATAAATATTTCACAATATATAATTGTATATTGTTTTGCGATTAATCACTATGCTTTATGTTTAATTTGTAACAATGAAAATACATCCTGAATATCATATAGTTACATAACGATTCATAACAGTAGCAAAATTACAGTTATGAAGTAGCAATAAAAATAATTTTATGATTGGGGATCACCACCACATGAGAGCTGTATTAAGGGGTTGTGGGATTAGGAAGGTTGAGAACCACTGCTCTAAGCAGTACACATCCTATACTACATCTACAGAATCGGTTCAATAGTCTGACCTCACCCCATCTGCTAGAGAGACGGGAATAAAGACCAATCGGTGGAAAGCAGGAGGTTATGCAAGGACACTTGAAGGACCATTTAAAATCCTCATCCCAGGTATCTTCCCATGGCTAATCAACACAAACCAAACTCTCTGCTGTGGGGGCAGCGAGTCACTGAAGTGGCTCTTCTAGCCAAAGTCTCCAAGCCCCACCAAACGACCTTTCCTTTGCAGGGGTCTGCTAAGGAGGTGGGGGAAGATACTCAAAGGGTTCACCTGTGAGTGATTGCGCACAAGACTCCCTAGAATGCCTCCTGCTGTGTATGAAAACGAACCCTCTGAGAAGCAGGAGGGATCGCATTACCAGTAAGAGCCAGGAGTACAGCGTTGCCTCTGGACCGAGATCCCTGTGCAGTGAGCCTCCGGGATCCAGGTGACAGTTATGCCATCATAACATGGAACAGAGTGATGGACTTCCCAACCCACAGAGCAACTTAGAGTGCTTCTGTGTAGGTGACTGGCTTGCAGAGTGGGGTGCCTCTGGGCACTTAACTGGGGAAGTTGTACTTGCTGATCAATGGAAGTAGAGCTGAGTACTTTTGGCCTGAGGCTTATTGGAGTGGGGTGCCTGTGGGCACCTAATTCAGGAAGCTGGGTTTACTGACCCACAGAGCTTGAGTGGAAGACCGTTGGGTTGAGTCTTACAGCACAGTGGTATGCCCCTTTGGGCATTTATTAGTAAAGCTGAAACCGGAACGTGTTGTGAAACTCAACTGCCATAAGCATTTCTTAATGGCATTACAAATTTTTAACTTCCTTAATAAACTCCTTAATCATGAACTTCGTCTGTGAGTTCTGCACAGCCACTGCAATGGATACAAGCACCTGGAGGTAAATTACAGAACATTAAGTCTGTGCAACTGCCATTGGGTGGATTCTGAGTCCTAGCAACACTGAA